GAAGACTCTTGACTTCATCTGTGGGAGTTGTAAACAAGCAAACAAAAAAATATACTGAGATTAAGTATGTGCCTTATAGAATAAGGGCCTTCTGTTATCTCCATGTGCAACTTGTAGTGTCCCATGGACTTGCAATCCTTAACAAATGTGAAACAAGACAACCTACTGTGAACAAAGAGCTGGAATGACCTAAATTCAGGGGTAGATTGTTCTGGTTTTGTGTTTGGTCTCTGTTTGTTTCCCACCCCCCCCAAATACTGTTGTTTGCAGACATTTCAGTGAATCATTGTGTGTAAGGAGCTGAATTCCTCAGTTGACCAAACTACTGTAAGCTTTCTCAAAGTTTCAGAATTAAACTTCTGGAAAAATACTAGACCTTTATGTTAGTTTGCTCAGTTGTTCAGACAGCTGGATCTGGCTATTTTAGTAATCTAACGTAGAATCTGTGTAGCAGGATTAACGGAATGAGGCAAAATTAACCCTGGTGTGTTTGGTCCTGGTATGAGGAATCCTTGGAATGATTTGGGTCTGGTATAAGGAATGCTGGGAATGATGATTCCTGGTGGGGGAAGAGGCTGCGTAGTGCTAGACCATTCATGCTAGTGAACAAATGAGTGAACATGCTCTAACGTGAAATAAGCAATCAGTGATCTTCTGTTAATCCACACCTCATGTGGTTCTTTACGTTATCTTTATAGATGGTGTATACATTTAATGCTGGGCCCAACCATTAGACTTCCATACTTAAAGAATGGAGCAGAAACCAATGTAGGTGAGATTGAGATTGATGTGGTCAACAAGCTGTGTTCGTTTTAGTCTGACTAGCTGTGCATCAGTGCCTGGCTTCTGTCTTTGCTGAGGGTATGAGGGAAGTCTTCAGAAATTATTTGCATGATTTATAGAAGCAGCATGACAGAAGCAAAAGTGTTCCATCACTGATGGCTCTTTGTTTTTTGAGAGTGATCAAACAGAAGGACCAGTGAACTGGATAACCATGTCTTTTCAGTTTCTGCTGCATTTATGCGACTACACATTCATAAGCTAATTCATAATCCAGGGAGAGCTATGAATGAGTGCCATGGAAACCTGATAAATACTAATAAATGTACCAACAGTAATGTCTCTACTTGTAGGCAAATAAAGTGTAGAACAATCAGATACTCAAAACTTTCATCTTCAAGGCTTTTTCACCCTTCTCTCTAAACTTTGACTGTATATTCAACTAGGCTTTATCGCTATTCTCAGTGGAATTAAGAACACAGCTAGTAAATTGGAGATAATTGGTCTAAACTGTGCTTCAGATCCTTGCAGAGAAATGAAGCAGTTAATGTGAGTGAAAATTGAAATTAGTTTCTTTCAAGGACTAATGCAGTGGGACAGACTGCACTGACCCTCATAAAGAGCGTGAGCAACTTTTCTCAGAACAGAAACTTTAAAAAAAAACAAAAAAACTAACTGCTGTTGTCTCCATTTGCATTATGAGCCCTCCTTGCTCCAAAAGGTACATATTTTCTTCTCCTTTGTATGCATTTTAATTTGTGAAAAAAATATTGTTTTATCAGTTTTGGTATTTTACTTTGTGTAAGTAAAGAGACTACTTGATTTGGAAATCTAAATTTGCCCTCCAGTGGCCAAGAATCACATCATAATCTTTTCCTAGAGGCTGGGCTAAAGTGGTCACTGCACCCTCGAAGGGCAGGGTTGTGCTGTGAATCTGGTCAAATTTGTAATTACTGAGTTTTTCATATATTTATGTCTGACCATACTTTGAAATATATGTCCTGCTTTCAAAACCGAATTGATGTACAGAGAGAAAAAAGTTATAATTCTACGAGCTGGTAGAGAAAACTGCTTCTGGTCTTAGCATTTAGTATTGTTTAGAATGAAATGTAAGAATTTTGCTGTTCTTCATACAAGAAAGTATCATCACATTTGGTAGATGTAAAGTGTTATTTACTAGATCCAGTGACTTATCATTTCAAACATACATGATCAAAATTCATATGTAGTCACTATTTTCCTAAACTCATTGCAACTGTAGAATAAATAAAGGACTGGGGGATTAACTGTGATAATAGCTTGTGATTTCACTGTTGGTTTGGTTTAAGAAGGAGACAAGTTGTACTGTGTTGACGTACCTAATCCCTATATACCTCATCTTCTTCTGGAGTCCACAGACCCATATTGGCTACTTATTTGAATTCTACAATTTGTGTATGTGTCCTGGCAGCCAGAAGGGCCAGCTGTACTCTGGGGGGTGTGCATCAGGCCCAGCACTGCCACAGCCAAGGGGAGGGGTTGTCTCCTGAGACTCTGTGCTGTGTGGTCTCACCTGCTACTGGGTGCAGGTATGATCATCACAACATAAAGACAGAAAACTGTACAGAGCATCCGGAGGAGGGCTAAAAAGATGATGAAGGGTCTGGAGGGCAAGGTTTGTGAGGTGCAGCAGAGGTCCCTGAGTTGGGTCAGCCCAGAGCAGAGTAGCTGACAGGAACCCTGATGGTGGCTGCAGCTCTCTGTGAGAGGAGCTGAGCTCTGCTCTCTGTGTCAGTGACAGGGAACTGCATGGAGCTGTGTCAGGGGAGGGGCAGCTGGGGATTAGGGAAAGGATCTGCACCAGAGGCTGGTGGGCATGGAACAGGCTGCCCAGGGCAGTGGGCACGGCCCCACGTGCTGGAGTTCAAAGAGTGTTTGGGCAACTATCTCAGACACAGGATTTGATTTTTGGGTGATGCTGTTTGGAGCCAGGGGTAGGACTCAATGATTCTTGTGGGTCCCTTCCAATTCAGGACATTCTATAATTCTACAAATATGTCTAGCTTTAGATGGCTTATTGGAAATGTGAAAAGAAAGGCAAAGGCATTTTTTGACAAGGTGAGGAATGCTAAAATACTCAGAGCTGTTGCTTTTCTTCTGAATTCTAAGAGTTGTTGGTGCTAAGTCTGAGCGTGTCTCCTTGAGATATCCATCCATGGATTTATCTGCAGTTAGCTAAGTGCCTAACTAGTAAAGTTAAGGTGGTTTTGGTGTTTGCAGGAGTAAAAGTCTAAAAAAGAACAAATGACTGCAATGTAGTATGTATATTTAAAAGAAACAAAACAAAAACCAACAGTCTTTAAAATTTCTAATGAGGAGTCTCAAGTTAATTTAAAAGTTAGTCAGTTATTTTCTGTGTCTCTTTGTCTGTAGTTTTTAATTGGTTGTTACCCATTCAATTAATGCTGTTTGCAATTGCGAAAGATCGGCTCAGAGTTTACATCCTTTTGTTCAGTGCCGTGGCATTTTTATTCCTTCTGAGTTCCTGTGTTTTAGATTTATGAAAAGGATGATGTGAGAAGTGGGAGTGCAATCCGAGTGTTGAGCCATTCCATATTTCTTCTATTTAATATCTGGTCTCAGCATGTGAAAACTCTGAAGCCAAATTATTCCATCTGTGGTATTGGCAGTGATGCAGAATGGTGTCCTTTTTCCTGAGGTGGATTATGTGGCTGTGAAAGGCAGCTTTGAGGAGTGCAGCAACACCAGGTGGAAACAATTTGGCTTAATTAAGGGCTTCTGAACTGGAGATTGGGAAGCCTAATGCATGTTCCTCGCCTGTGTGGCACTTTGCTCGTATCTAGCCTGGCACGTGAAAAGGAAGCTGAAAGATAAGAGGGAAGCCCTTTTCCTGGCACGTTGTGTGTTGATTTGGAATTTCACTGCAGCAAGCCAATTGCTACTAAAAATAAGTAAATAGCTCTGCCCATTCAGAACCTTTTTAAAGTGCTGTTTTGGAAGATGCTCATCAAGAGCATGTCGTCTTTCTGATCCCAGGTTGGTGCTTCATGTGTTTGGATGTTGCATTACATTGGAAGATGGGGTGCGTCTGTGATTCCTTCATTTAATTAACAAGTCTTCAATGCCAGTATTTTGGGAATACAGCAGGGTAATAAGAAAATGATATGTAATTAAGGTTTGCTTTTCCATCAGAGGAACTTTAGACTTGCACTTCAGGAGCAGAGGTTTGAGATGTGTCTAATTAGTTGAAACAGCTTCTGTTGGAGGGGAATACGATCAGTTGGATATCTAATTAATTAAACAAACAAAAGGTAAAGAAGTGTGTGTAGAGGGAGTTTTTGTTTCCTTTTAAGTGATCATAACACAACTTAATTGTTTAGGTATGTTTTTATTTTAAAAATCTCTTCCTTTGTTACATGACAGGCCTATAGACATCCTGGAGGTGATTAAAATGTGTCAAATATAGAAACTGAAGGAGAGGTTTTTTTCAAAATGACAAATTTAGGAAAAAAGCTTCAAATATTATAGTGCGGAGTCCTGAAATATTGTAGACTTGTTTTCTCTGTTAAGAATGAGCTCTACCTAGTAACTGAGGCTCTGAAACTCTAGTTTTAATCCTAGTTTCACTGAATTTCCACATGGGATTTATATGGATACTTTCTGTCTTGAATAGTTTTTTTGTTTTTTTTTCTGTAACTATACTGCTTATGATCATGAGATAAGTACATGAGCAGAGGAGCAATACCAAAGGCTGAAATGTAGGCAGAATTCTTGTATATATCAGAGCAATTGTGCCAAACAACTTGAAGAACGGAAATTATCTTCCCATTAGCTAGATTCGTGTTATCCCAACGCTTTCCTCCGTGCTAGAAGATACACTAGAAATCTATTTTTACACAAGGTTATAGGGCTGTCTGTAAGACCTGCCTCTTCCTCATACTTCATGCAGGAGAGGAGTACAATAAATAATCCCAGATTACAGCCTGTCTCTTATTTTTCTCACAGTAGTGTTTTGATTTATTGAAGTTAATAATCTTAAAAAAAGAAGTGATGCTACACAGAAGCATAGAAGTATTCTTCCAAATGCGTGCATGCATATACCCAAAATGAGAAAGGAAGAACAATGCTTTGTACAAAAAAAGCTAACCTGATACTGATGACACTTTTTCTTTCTTCTTCTTTCTCCTCTGCTACCATTCATCTGATTTGTGACTGTCCAGGCCTTAGATGCAAGTTCACCTGTACCTGATATTAATGAAGACAACTTGGAGCTTGAAGTCCCACCACAGGAGCCTCAGCAACCAGGAGATGTTACGGCACCTCAGGAGCTGACTGGGCAGCAGCTAGAGGTGACTTCACCACTCCAAGAGCCCCCTGAACAGCATGTGGAAGCCCTCACAACAAGCAGTAAGTAAATACCTGTGTTTAATGATCTAATCTTAGAGGCTGGATGCTAAACAGAGTGAAAAGTTGACATGAGGCTCATCTGGCCTAAGCTAATGAATAGGTAGTTGCTCAGGTGGTCCCTGGGTTACTCAAGTGCTTCTGGAGTGTTATTTTATGGGGATACATTTCTTTATATCAGAGTTCAGGTACCAAACAAGTTAGGGCTGAGACTGTCAGCAGAACAGGATGCCATCCTTTCTGCCTTTGGGGTGTTTCCTTTCCCATAGTGCTGGCCTGAAGTACCTCTGCTTGCTATCAATGTCTTGAACATTTGCCTGAAGTAACAGCTCAGTTTCCACTTCCTGTGTTAGCATTTCATGGTGTGTAGATCTATCTCTTCTTTCACCATTCTTTTTTTAATTATATTTTAATATATTCATTCATGATATTGATGTTAATAATGGACTGATTGAGGTGGGAAGGATCTCAGGAGGCCCTCTACTCCAGGCTTTGCTCAGGCAGGGCTGCTGTGACCAGGCTGCCCAGAACAATATCCAGCTGGCTTTTGAAAAACTATTTTGAACTCACAAGAAGTGACAGCCAGCTGATCCATTGGTTTTCTTTTGATTAAAGCTCTCTTTCATACAAATTTTAATCAGCTTTGTATTTTGATCTCCCAAATGTGTGTTACTGGGGGGGGGGGGGGACCCTTGTGTGCTCTCTCTTGGGAATCTCTCCTGCCCTGCCACTGTGCTGCTTGTTCCTCTGTTCCTGCCCTTGCCAGACTTTTGTTCCTGCTCCTTCCAGCACTGGGAGGCATCAGCTTCCAGGACCCAGCTGTGGGCTGACCTTCTCAGTGAGGCGGTGGGAAGGGGGGGGGTGAGATCTGGTCAGAGCAGACAATGAATGCTGTGGAATGAGGGAGCAGGGGAGGGATGGGGAGGAAAGGAGGAGGGACCACATTTTTCAGTGTCAGCCTCTGGAGTGGCTTCTGGCAGTTGTGTTGCCCTTCATATTTTCTGGGTTTTGAATTCTAGTAAAGGCAGTTTTTTACTACAACTTCAGATTAATTGCCATTGCTGATATCCCAATAGAAAATTCACCATATTTTGTTTTATGTTGAGCTTTTGCACCTTATTCTTTATCCTTTTTGTAGAGTCTTTGGGCACTGTAACACTGGGATGCAATGTATTTTCTCTTTCACTCATGTTAAGCACTGTTCCCTTTTAAAATATCCTGTAGTGGATAGGGATGAGAGAAGATACTCAAAGTTGTTAAGGAGTAGAAATTACCCAATAATTTTAAATAGTCTGTAGATTTTATGTTATTCAAGTTCTAGATGAAGTTACGGAATAATTCTGGATCAAGTAATAGAAAAGGACTTTAAAAAGGCATGAATTTCAAGTTAATAGTCAAAGTAATTTTTATTGATTTGATTATGAGTTGTAGCTTTAGTTGTACAGACATTGTGTTCTTAAGATGTGTAATAAAGAGGAGCTGACATGCAGATGATTATAGGTGATGAATGATGCTTTATGGACACAGCGTTGGGAATGTTTACTTGAGTAGATAGCCCAAAAAGGCTTTACTTTCTTTAATATCACCTCTCATGTGGTTGCATGATGACTGTTGAATGGAGTTGCACCTAAGAGGTAGCAAGATTTGTATGAAAGCATAAATTCCATGGATTTGCTCTCAAAGTTTTAAACTTGCAAAATAATAATAATTTTTAAAAAGCCCTTATGGAGGGGATGCAGCACATATTTTCTGCTATCAGTAGTTGGTGACAACAGCATCCATAGAGAGGAGAAATTGTTAAAGCACTGACGAATCTGGTTCTTCAAGTGAATGCTGCATTCAGATATCCATCTCTCTTTGTATCCATCCTGCTGTGTCTGGTCCACATGTCCTTAAGCAGATGACTAAAGGTGGGGGGGAAGCATCTTTTACACACTTCATTCGGAGAAATCTCTGTTTCCAGTGAGAGAGAGAAATCACTGAATTCTACATTTCTTTGTTTCACTTTGCTTGTTAACTCTTTTTAAAATGAGAAATAAAGCATTGTGGCAACGGGGTTAATTGCTTATGGTGAAGGAATTGAGAAAATATATATACATAGTGGGCATGCTCCCCATCTCACTTGGGTCATTATTTGAGTCTCACATTTGGCAGATTGTTGGAGCCAAAACTCATCACCAATGTTGCTGTTGTGTGAAGCTAACTGGGGAGCGCTGGTGGACACAGGCACAGGGCTGTGCATGGCTGGTCCAGCACGTGGGCAGCAGCTGAGCTTTGGAGGTACCCAATGCGATCTGTAGGATTATTGTAACTGTAACACGGGGGTTTGGCCTGGATACTGTGTGGCTGCTTCGGAAAGGTGTTTCAGAAGTTGGAACTGAAGCAGTCTGTTGTTCAAAAACTGGTTATTTCTTAGTGTGAAGGGGAGGGGGCTGGGAGGGGAAGAGAAGTGTTTGGAGTGAGCATAATTACTCTAATTGCCAGCAGTGAAGTGATGGAAAGAGAATAGTTAAACTGCACTTCTGCAGCCTCCAAACACTTCCAGAGCTTCACATGAGGTCTGGTAGCCAGCAATTGGTGCTGGCGCAGGCGAGGGGAGGGATCCCGCTCCTTGTTGGCTTACCGCGTGAGCCCAGCCCACTCCCGAGTCGCTTTTTGCTCCCTCGGTTGTGCAGTGAACAGCTGAGGAGGGAATGGTCCTCCACCGCGGGCAGCTGCCGACGGGGAGAGGCAGTGGGAGCACGGCTTTGGTCCGCCCCACTCGCCGCGTCTGTTGAGGCAGGAGGCTGCTCCAGACCCACGAATATCAGGAACTGCATACTGTGAGAAGGAAGTTTCTTATTATTACTGTAATTTAAAAATGCTGGGGACCATAACTATCACGGGTAAGGCAGCGTGGCGTTACTAAAACGTAAGCACTGTCTTCTTTTATTTGGTTCTTTTTTTTTGTAAATTTTTTTTTTTTCTTTTTTTCTTTTTTTCTTTTTCTCTCTCTCTGCTGTGCCTGGCTTTGCTGTGTGACTCTGTGCTGCAGTGGGTTTATAGCTTGCTGGGGTGGGGCGTGCTGGGTTGTGCATGCTGGAGCGCTCCTCGGGCTCTCAAAAGTATTGTGTGACCAGTGATAGGTTTCCTGGCCGTGGGGCAGGAGGTAACAACTCTGCCGTAAGTATTTGATCCAAATGGGAACCATTTCACAGCAAAAGCTGGTGAAGTTTTAAAAGTTCTTGTTACTTCAATTGCATGTTTGAAGTGGCAGCTCTGATGCAAGGCTGAAGATACTTAATGGTGCTTACAATTCTTTTCTGCGGTATCGGAATATGACGTGGGGTCTGAAACTGAGCAACAATAACAAAAAAGACAGTGACAGTTTTACCTTCATTTCTTGGTTAAGATAAAATTTTGCTGCATCAGGCTGCATCTCGCAAGGCAAACCCAGTGCAATATGAGGACATGTAGAAGTGAGCATCTTTTATCCATTGTCAAATCATTTGCATGAGAGAAAGTGAGATTTTACTCTAACAGCTTATAACGAAGCAAAATCTAGAGGAGAGTAGCACTGTGGCGTAGGAATGGGTGTGTGTGGTGTATGTGTCAGAAGGATCTCAGCCTGGGATATCAGAGCTGGATGCTATATGCATAGGGCTCTGTACAGCTTAAGAAAACACGGTGTGAGCCACCGAAGTGTGAGAGCTCCCACCACAAACCAGCTGGGCTTTCTGAAAAGGTTACGCTGCTTGAAGGAGTGTCACATTACGGGGGGCGGAATTCTTATGCTGCTTCTTTTTCACAAACTTTTGTCTTTTATTTGGAAACAGTGCAGCATTATGACATTTAATTAAAAAAAAAAAAAAAAAAGTTTAGTCGCTTAGTAAAGGTAATCCGTTTGCATCAGCACTTCCCTCATAGCGATGTCTTTAGGAATCTGCTCTTTACTGCACTGTGTGAATATTTGTTTGTTTGCTTTTATTTTGTTTGCTGGCACTGGCAAACTGCTTCAAACAAATGGTGGGGGCTGTTCATGCAGAGCACTCTGCTGTTACAATACCTCCTGACAACAAAGCCTGCAGAAGTCCAGCGCCGTTTGGAGGACCCTGGGGAGGACTGTACGTGATTTGAATCAGTTAGTAGGGGAGGAGGTATCCCACTGCTGTTTACAATGAGGTTTTCATTAAACTTGATGTTTAATGAGCTTATCACATGCTGAGTCTTTTTCCTCGAGGGTTCTCTATTTTTTTATTTCCCCTTATTGTTAGTATTTAAAGGTTAAACTGTTTTTCTAAAGCAATGTCTTTATAGGGTTGCACAGTTTAATCGTCTGAGGTTTTCTTTCTTTAATAATTCTTACAGAAACTTGAATTTTCACTGTATCACCAGTGCTTGTGTAGTGCATTTCCTAAGATCTGCATCCAGCTCACTGTACACATTATTGTTCTTTGAAGGGACAGAGTGCATTTCCTTGTTGGTATGCAGGAGCGTATTAAGCTATCATTTGTCTTACTAGTGTAGCTACAACAGTATCTCCTTTGTTTGTGTGTGATGGTAATTATCCTTTATGCAGATGCTTTGAACAACAACAATAACAACTTTTTTTAAGAAACCACCTTCCAATCTGTTTCTCATTGTGCATTTTTATTAGGGGTTCTCAAAAACGTTGCAGTGAGCTCTAAGCCGTGTTGCTTATCCTTTTCTTGCCCCTAACAGAGCAGATACTTTTCTCAAATACCGTGGTGCATCTGTCTTGGGTTTAGTGAATACATTCTATTTTAAAAAGCAAAACAAAGTTGGAGAACATGAGATGTGGACGGTATGGACAGCCATGAAATCTCATAAATATTTGCAGCATGCTGGTTTGGTTCACAGGCAGAACAGCTGGACTGGTTGGAGAGTAGTTTATTGTTGTGAGTGCATTTAATGAAAAAGCTTTAAATACGGTAACTGTATATCCAAGCCACACTCAGTGACCTTCCTGTTTTAAAAAAAAAAAAAAAAAAAAAAAAAAAAGG